ACCCAGCTGAACCGTGTGCATCAACCGAAAACTTCGAACGTTCGATGTGCAAATAAAGATAATATCTCGCGAACAAAAGCAAAATTAATAAAAATAATTTTAAAAAAATACTTACAATATTATTATTTTCGTCCTATTCGTGTTTCGCGGGAACTAACAAGGAGTGGAATGCGAGATGCCTGAGTGTATAAAGCATAATTTACAGTATTCAGCGTTTGTATGCATATGTAATAGAATGTGCGTGCTCGGACGGTCGAGGAGAATTATTCAGAATATTACTGCAAGTTTATAGGTTAGGTTATCTTTTATATTATTGTATATAGTATAGCGTATAAGACGTTCCTGACGGGAAAAAAAAATGATAATTTATTTTAATTATAGCAGTGTGATATATGTATTGATATGTTACTGTTGCAATTTTATACGATAACCGAGTAAAGCGCCGGGTGCAATCCCTTAATGGCAGTGACGTAGTTATAAGTATTATAATATTTTTATAACCTAAGGCGGTAGATTTGAAGAATTTATTTCGTTATTAATTATTAATAAAAATGGTTTAAACCTTGTAAATTACGTTTTAGTATTGAAATAAAATTTGTTTTGCTTACTTAGGTACCTAACTAATATATAATTTATAGTAGGTAATTAAATTATGATTCAATTTGTGCGGTTTATTATTTTAGTTGTTTTGAGAGACGATTTTCCACAGGGCTACACACGGCAAACATACCAGTAAATACTACTTAAAGGTACACAAAATTAAGTTCATTTCATGAGATAAAACGCAAGTCAGTTGTGTTAAAAAGCACAGATAACAGCATACGACCCGTGCACGGGTGTTGCTTCGATCACAATTTAAAGTTTATAACTTCAACGAATTATTTCAATGTTCGCCCATTCACTTGAAAGTTTTAGAAAGCGTACCTGTACGCCGTCGCATAATCTAGTATTTAACGCGAAATGAAATCGCTCTTTAAATGTAATATTTTTGAATAACATATCAGACGAAAGTTCCGACAACCGCGCGTGTACCTATAGGTACGTACGTCGTGGGTACGGGTACAATTAAACATAATTCTCGACGCGGCAATTTACTGTTCCGGATCCAATTTAAAACAAACATATTGCAAATGGTTTTCGCTTTTTCGTTTCTCCTGCGCGGTAAGACTACACTCCTCCGTAGGAGAACTACACGTCTCGGTGTGAAAAATAAAGCGAGGCGATCTCGTAGCCGACGAATTGAAAACCCTGGTCGACTAGACCACCAGTTAACCGGTCAACTCTATCTTCGGTTAGCTAATTCGTTTGCGGTGTGCGTAAAAAAAAACGTTGATTTCCACCGCGGTCGCAGCACACCGAACAACCGTAACAACGAAACGTAACGCAACGTCGTGACCAGACTTGGGTAGTTTTCCGAATACTGTATTCAGAATACTTTTTAAATACTTTTTTTGAAAGTATTCAATAAAGTATTATGAATACTTCTAACGAGTATTCTGAATACTGTATTTCGAATACCGTCAAATCATCTCTTTTTTAAATTATTTTATTACTTCTCCGTCGTATCATGTATAAACTAATACCAGGTATTTATAATTATTGTAAACCATAAACTATAACAGTTATGTAATGTAAAACACAATAAAATAACATATATTTAGTCTACAGTTTCAAATATTTCTGTTGAGTGGACATCTATTATTTTTATAGTATGAAAACTAGAAGTATTTTAAAATTATTCGGAATACAATTTCTATAAAGTATTTGAATACATATTCGGAATACTATTTCTCGTAAGTATTCGAGTATTTATTCTAAATACTTTTAAAAAGTATTTTACCCAAGTCTGGTCGTGACCGACATTCATAGTTACGTACTCGTACCAATGTGTAACACACGGGACCGTCGGATCCGTTTCAAGCGAAACGCGTTTACCCTTTCGTCGCCATTTCGGTTCTCGCATAATGCCGTTGTTGTTGTTGTTGTTGTTGTTGTTGTTGTTGTTGTTGATGGTACGACAAAACCACGCCATTCGGCTGCACGTAATGATTTTCTCATTTCGTTCCAATATCAAAACGTGTGTAACGCGCAGTAGACGGAACGCAGTACGCCCGGAACGTAATAAAACGGTCCGAGTTCGGTGCCGTAATCGTTTTATCCGGTACTCGAGAAACTCTTGTTGGACCACGAGCGCGTTCTCTTATTTTTTTTTTTTTTTTTTTTTTACACTAAAACATCGATCGGGATTTCGTAAAAATTCGGTTTCGAACGAACGGCGTAAGCAATGATGGCTACGAGAACAAATAACCGTTTTATTCGATTAATCAATCGGACGGGACCGACTGGACGGTGATTTCAGATTTCGGGCGTTCACACCGATACAATCGATTCCTGTTCGCAGTCACCGGAAACGTGCAGTAAAATTTTCTAACGTTCTCCGACGATCGTCCTCTGGATCGACCCGAGTTGCGTTTCGGGTGCGAGGGAGAGTTGCCGCGCGCTGGTGTGCAGCCAACGCGTCCCGAAATAGCACACGGTTTCCGGAAGGGCGACGTCCCTACAGAATGGCCGCAACGTAAACCTAACCACGCTTACGATCAGCTCGTGTACGTCGAAATCACCGCGTGTCGAAAACGTTCGAACGCCATCGAAACGAATGCGCGCGTTATAATAGCATTCGTTCACCGTACAGGTGCGGTTTTTGATCGATCCGCGTAACAATTTACGTGCTAACACGTTGCGGGTATCCGTTATTTCTATGAATGAGATAAAGTAGATCGCGGCCGTTTTGTACCGATCGTAGAAGAAATACATACACCATCACTGCGGTGCACACCTGATAAATGTACGACGAATGACTGTAATAGAAACTTAACCCCATCAGACGCGTATAATATGTAAAATGTTCAGATAAAATACCACGCTGAAGGACTTCTATACCTAGGTACGCCAGTAACGTGGCAAGATTTTAAGACACGATTGGTTGTATCTGTCCTTATCTGCTGAAAGCAAAAGAAAAATAAATATTATATAAAACTGTATCATATACAAACTTGCGATTCGAATGACATATTTTACAACCTGTATGACGAAACCGCATGTCTTGAGCAACGTACAAGTAACTACCTGTCGGTGAACGTTAAACTTTAATGGGTCCAAAATATATTTTACTTTTAAATTTGTCGAAAGGAACATTTGCACCAAAGTAGAAAAAGTTAACCGAATAAAAATATTATTATTTAACGATATTCTATTCGTGTGCTTGATTTTGTATTTTTGTTAAAAAATGTTATTATTATTGTTTTTTGAGTAAGCATTGGTGACACCCAAATTATTTTAAAATCTTCGTCAACCGAATAGAAACAGTGAAATCAAAATAAGTTCATCAGATTGACTCGGTTGGTAAATTTAAAAAAAAAAAACTATACATAGAGCATTTAATCAATTGTATTTCACTGTTGAACAGTAAATTAACTGACATTTATTTTTTTTAATAGCAGTATTCTAAAGGTGAAAAATGATTATTACTTATTTTTGAAACGATATAAAGTGCTAGATCTATTTCAATACCATTGGACTTCACTTTATACATAGGTGCATGTTGATGAAACATATCGTTTTCAACTAAGCAAGTAAAAAAATGGTCAAAAATGTGTACTCTTAACAGTAAATCTGCAAAGTATTCAAAAAAGTAAACGGGAAGTAAAAAAAATCGACAAAAATAATTTTTCCCAAAGGTACAACAAATGTATTTCTACGGAAAAATACCACTCCGTCGATGTTGAAACTATATATTCTTATGAAACATAAACATTCGCACGTTTTGTACTTCTATGGCGAGCAACAATAAAATCGCACTCGCCATTTTATTGTTAGGACCAACAGAAAAACAACTTAACTATTCGGACAGCCGTTAACAACCTAAAATGGACTTCGAGGACAGGATCTTATTACATCGTCAGACCACCGTAGTAAGGGTGGCCTTAATGAAGTTCAATTAGATTATGATCCCATGTGAATTGTTTGAACGGGTCATAACGTTTTATATAATATAACCTTGAGTTAAACGATAATTGGTTCCTCCGTTAAAAACTAGTAACTCATTTCGGTACGGAGTCGCCTGTCACATATTAAAGGCATAGTCCTGAATTCATTTTTTTTTATTTTTATTTTTTCTTAATTATATGTAATGAAATGCAATTACATTTTTCTTAATTGCGCTATAATTTTAGTTCACAGCGGATATCTACCATCAACAATCGAATAACACAATTTTTTTTATAAATCGTGTATACCTAACCTTCTTGATGTGGAATTATTAAAATTTAAAACCTCCTGACCAATTATGACCCTTCAATGAACAAAATTAGTCATATATAATTAGTCTTAATGAAAATATCGGCTTTCATTTTATTACGATATACGTTATTACAACTATTTTGTTTCTTATTATGCACTTTATACCGTACTATATTTCAATTAAATTGAACATATACTTTCGTTTCTTAGTTATCATTGCAACAGTAAAACCGTTTTCTGAATGTAAATCCGATGCTATTAAATGGTTTACATTAAACATAATATAATATTTTCTCAACGTTAGCAACGCGCAATTTTAGAAATTGAAAAAAAAATGATCTGATACTTAGAATGATTTAAAAGGTGTACACTCAGTACATGAAGTATACAAAAGTCCTTCCAGTTTCTGTGTGCGCCACAAAATAATTATGCATTTTTAAAATATAGGATTTCGAATAAAAAAAAATTATAATTACATGAATTATAAAAATAATTACGGAGTTCATTAAAATCGGAAAATCAGTATATTAGAACAATTGTATATACGTATTTAAATAAAACGAAATATTTAGTGACAATTCGTGAATCACATAGTTATAATACCTACAATTAATACCATTTTTGTGCAGTCGATTGATTATATTTATGGCAATAAATATTATTTAATCGTAGAACGTGAAGATATTAAAACTATAATTTACCAAATTGAAAATTGTGTGTCACAAAAATACTATGTCAAGTGTTAATGCGTGTTTTCATTAAACCAACGTCGTACCGCAGTGGATAGTGCTCAGTAGAACTTGACGTCGGGGTCCGGAGGGAAGTTACTGGCGTGTGTATTACTGAATATTAAACAGTCGGTTTAAAATAAAAAACAAAATTGTTTACCGGTACGAATTTTCGAAAACCGGTCCGAAAAATGTACAAGAGAAGACGAAAAAATTTGTTTTCTCAGAGTCCGTTGCCCGCGGACGATCGATGGTAACACTGCGTCACACGTCGAGAGATGAATGAACTCGGACGGAAGGAGACCCCCACTTCTCCGGAGAGTGGAAATGTGTAAGGATAATAACATATATATTTATGTTAAGTAATCTGGCATGTATACAGGACGGTTCAAAACGAGTGCGAATTCGAGTGTGCTTGTAACGTGCGTGTGCGCGATAATGTAATGATACATGTGCACCGTAACACTCTCGCCGGTAAACTCATGAATCAGGGATCAAGTGATAGATGCCGCTGACCCGAGCTCTTAGGCGGCATTAGGGGAGGCACGAGGGGACAGTAGCCCTTCCACAAAAAATATTGAAGATAAAAATTATCATTTTGCCCCCTCCTAAGTTCAATATTGTTTAAACTCTTTTTTAATTTTTATAAAATATTCGTGTTAAAATTACGTTTGTACAATTATATAAGAAAATTATTCCCCACGTTAAGTCAGATCAATATTATCAATATCGCCATAAATCATTATAAACTAATGTATATTGATTATACATACAATATAGTGTATTCAAACGATGTTTAAATCAATACTTTTAAAATGTAACATAACATAGTTGTTTAATTGATATACTTATCGTCTTATCGATTATCATACACGCAGCAAGTAAAAATGTAAAATATATATATATATAAGTTGAACGTGGAAAGCTTTTTAAATCGATCGGTAAATTGTGATTAATTCCTCCCCCCACACAGACAATAAGAGCCGATTTCCCAGGCTAATCGCAAACATCCGTATCAACGGGTCGGGACCGCTGCCGATGTTTTATTATTTCTTTCGGTACCCTTTAAGTATGTTACAGTTAAATATAATACTTTTCTCCGAGACGGAACGTGCTGCGCGCGTAAACGGTGTGACGTATTCCGATTGCCGTTGGTGTCTATACAGGCGTCGTGTTTACGTCGGAGTGTACACAATAACAACAACACGCGGTCCGAGTGAAAACAGAGACGACCGACGGTGCTGCGCCGACAGTAATGTTCGTGTTTCATCAATGGCGTGCGCAGGAATTTGGTATGGGGAGGGAGGATGTCACAAATAAAAATGTATTATTTTCAATCATTATTCTTTATTATTATGCAGAAAAAAAAAAAATGCAATCAAGGCGGAAATTCATCCTTCTGGCTTTTACATCAAATCCATCAAATATTTGTTCTGTAGATAATGGAATGTCTGGATGTATGTTCATTAATTCGTTTACCGTGACCATCCCATTGTATTTCTTAAAAACGTTTTTAAACGTTTAAGACTAAAAAAAAAAAAAAAAAGCCCATGGGGGGATATATCCCTCATCATCCCCCTGCACACGCCACTGGTGTTCGTTTCCGTCGTCCTGGGCCGAAACGTCGAACAACAACGTCGTTGCACCGCTTTTTACGGTCAAATCTCCATAAAACCGTATACGCGCGCCGCAGACACAATACGGATGCCCTTGCATGATCATAAAACGGACGAACAAACGAAAGAAAAAACCGCAACCGTGTGCCGTCGCAACGTCGTATAGCAATAAAACTTTTCCAGGCGAGCTTTACAACGCGCTTGGTACGAGGGATCGCGTTTTCTTTCCGTCCGAATACGAATTAATCGAAGGGTCGCGGAATACTCGACTGGACGGCTGCGATTTTATTGTGCTCCCGGTGAATCAGGTCGCAGTCGGACGACCGATCGAATCAACCGAAAATGCTCGTCGTTACCGTACACGAGACCGACCTGCGACCAGTGACGCACACCCGTTCTTACCGACATGGTCGAACATATTATATTAACACCGACCACCCACCCATTACACATAAACATTAGCAAAGCAACACTCAAATAAAGGTAATTTTGGAGCTCGAGGTTGTGGGACTTAGCGCTTAAGGCATGAGCCTAGGTCCAATCGAGTTTAACGCGTTCGAAATTCGAATTACATTTAGAAAATTGCAAATATTTTTAACCATCAAATTTTTGTCGGGGGGTCGACTGAGACCCCTTGACCCACGAGGCGTGCGACGACCGCGACGGTAAACGTTGTACTCGCGTCGTGCGCATTGCGACATTTCGGTCAACGTTTCCGTGCGATCCGTACCAGCGGCGAAAACAATAATAACGCGGACATTCCACCGACAGAGGCGGCTCCAGGGGAGGGTCTATCCCCTCCCCCAAGCCCGTACCGTATTTTTAAAAAAAATTTATATTGTTAACAAAAAATGCATATTATGCAATATGGACTATTTATACGACACGCACAAGTATGTAGATAGAGCCCCACAGAGGTATGACGGTGTATACGATGTACCTGCTGTCGATGTTATTCAGTAAAGCTATAAATGAACTATATTAATATAGAATGTACTATGGTATGATACTGTGATATTATTATTTCATAATGTTCAAAACATGAATTGTGTAGCACACATTTCTGTACGGACTAAATTGTTGTTTTCGTTTTGTTATATCGTTTTCAGCCGTGGCGGTGACGGGACTCGACGACGTGTCACCACCACGAAAACAATAATAAAGTAATACGAGAAAACGAATACCACGCGTACGTATTCGAAAGACGACGTTCGGCGCGTTTGTTTTGCTGCACGCGCGCGCACATATGGTTTTTCTTCGAACCGCCGTCGTCGTGGTAACAACCCCCTCGCACTTCCGTATGTAACGTGTATAATAGCCCGTTTTAGCTCTACGTTCGTACACGTACACCAACCCCCAACGCAGTAGGCACTTGCTGTAGTCGGGGGCGTGCGAACAGATCGTTTCGGGGATGAATAACACAGCGTGGTCACGGATAGCCGTGTGATGATTCATCTCGGTAGCGGTGGCCCGTCACCAATACGAAACCGAACAGTACGCGAACCTGCAGATTTTTGATTTTATTTCACGGTGTTTTTTTTTTTTTTTCGTATCGCGAGTAAAAAACAATATGACACGCGTGCGCAATCGGTCGTGACCTCCGTAATGTACCATGATACTGATAGTAAAAATGCACGTAGAAATAATAAAACGTAATATATCACAATGGTAAGACGCTTAAAAAAACGTAAAAAACGACAATTGTATTCCGATTTATCACGTACTCGAAAAATTTTGTTTTACCGTGATGTAACCCAGAATCTTAACAGTGTATAAAAGTCGTCCGAGAGCGGCGTAAATTTTATGTGCGTGCATTACGTTTGAACCGCGTCATCGACATTTTAAGATGTACGACTCGTGCCAGTAGACGCCATCCGCACTTGTACAGCCTTTTGCCTCGATCAAATTTAAACTTCGCTACGGATTGATAGATAGAGAGAGAGAAAGAGAGAGAGAGATTATTTTACATTCGTCTAAGCAAGTGAAGTTGGCAGTGGCGTAGCGAGGACATGGCGAACTGTGCCTACGCCAGGGCCTCGAAATCGTGCGTGATTCATATTTTCATTTTGCCTTAGAAATTAAAATTTTCCGTTATAATTTTTAATATGTGTAAATTTTGTCTAATTGTACAGTTAATGATGAAATTATGAAAATAGTACATGGGAATTCATGTAGGAAAACATATCAATGAATTCGCCATTTTTAAAACGAAAATAGCAAATTTTCAAAGTTCAAATTTACACTGCAATACAGGGCTTGAAATCGAAATAAAAAATTTGATTTTAATTTCAATTTTGATTATTGATATTAGTTTTTTTTAATTTTGATTTTGATTTCAAATATTGATGTTTATTTTTTGCAATTTCGTTTTTTATTTCGAATATCGATATTAATTGTTTTCAATTTCGGTTTCAGAAATCGGTATTTATTTTTTTCGATTTCGGGTTCACAACAGAATGTTATCCATGACTTATAATAATTTCTCAAATTTTAGTACATCATCAGCATAATAATGTTGTAGGCTGTAACGACTGCAAAAGTACAAAATAAAACTATTTTAGGTTATTTAATTGTTTACTATTGGTTAAAAGTATAACTCACGGGTGACAGCCAATGGAGTATTATAAATTTATATCCTATTCATAATAATACACTACAAAATATCTTTATATACTATATTATACGGAATAAATCGTGTGTATAAAAACAACAATCGCTCGTCGAACGCTGATTCCTATCGTAAATATTCTAAGAAAACAAAATAAGTACTAGTTATCTATTATTATGTATAATCAATATTATTACCAAAAATGGCCATATCTACGAATTGACGGTATAAATAGAACTGTTGGCTGTTGAATTTTAAATTAATTTGATTTAAAATCGTTTTAATTATTAAAATGATTTTGATTTTGATATAAAATATCGATTTAACTTTTTAATTTCAATATAAATTTTGAATATCATTACCAACCATTAATAATTTTGATATTGATTTTGATTTTCTAAAAGAATTAACAATTTTTATCGATATTTGAAATCGATTTCAAGCTCTGCTGTAATAGCAACTTATACACATACATTGTATTCTTAAGATAAATAATCAGTAAAATTAAAGGTTAAAAAATTTATCAAAAATTTTTAATTGCGTAAAAGACGTTTTCTTCTAAGTTTGCTACTGGAAATGGATGTGATCAACCGACCTTTACTTCGAGTGAATCTCGCACAAACAGAATAGCGATTTAGAGATGTGTCTTATTCTGAATGTAATTTAAACATTTTTAATTGTTTTTGAACGGCCCATGTATATTTTATGCAACCGCGTGGTATATCGCGAGGTACGCGTACAACTCACTACTGGACCATGCGCACTTAGTTAATTTTCCATGGAGAGTCGAGTGTGTTTTAACGAATTCGTCCTCGAAACGATTTGTGCGTCCCGTGCGACTACAACCGTAATATCGAGTGGTCTGACGACTCGTTGAGCGCTGTGAGGTTATCGTGACCCGAGGGTCATGTAACCCAGGTGATATTCTCAACGCGATTTTCGTAACCGTCGCAGGGCAAACGTGTTGTTCGCGGTTTCAACCAGGGCCGTAGCAAGGGGGACTAGAAGAGCCTACGCCAC